TGACCTCACTCAACAGGAATCAAAATTAAGGTCTGCACTTCAACTGCCTTAGACAGATAGATTATATCTGGTGGCAAGTGGTTGTTATAAGGTTATTCCAACGTAGCAGTTCAGATTAAACTGCCTTTCTGCACAAAGAAATATACCGTAAAAAAATCCAAAATTTCAACCCACTTTTAAATAATTTAGTTTTGAAAAATGGTCAGGTTTGTAAAATACAAAATTTCTTAGAAATGTTGACTGTTTGAATTTTCAGAGTATTAACCAGCAGGGTTCTCGCCACGGTGGTCGGCCCGACCGACACTCAAAATTATCGACCACCACGGGAATGTTTCCGGCCAGGACTATTGTCCGATTGTTATTATAATTATGTACCGACCGACACGCTTCCTGTCAGTTGTGGATTATAATTTGTAAACAATAGACCTAGTCGCACAATACGTAGCGGCTTGTCAATTTTGTGAAATTATCATCTCTTTTGTAAGTAAATACTTTCTGCAATACAGTCTTTAGATTGAAAGCTAAAATTCTTTCAAAATCAATTTCACCCCGATATAACATGGTCAAAGCGGAGTTCACGATCTGACAGTTTACGCTACTCAAAAAAAAAAATCAAAGTGTTTATTGCGTGATTTGGTAAAATACATTTGAACTGTTATCACAATCCAGGGTTCTCCACGGTTGGAAAATTAAACTGGGCGCGCCAATGTGAAGTGGGCGTGGCACATTTGTAACGTGCATCATTGGCATGGATGTTGAAAAATGGAAACCAAAAAATCTATTAATCTACATATTATTGCATATGCATAATGTATATTTATTATTACAAAATAAATGAGAATTTTGAAGAGCTATTAAGTAAACGTCAGCATCACGCAGCGACATCAGTTGTTTACCAGTTAATGATCGCGTCCAGAAAAAGACGTAACAAGTTTGTTAATTTATTTTAGCAAAAATTTATATTTATGATTTACATTTATTTGGACAAAGCAAAATAAAATGTATGATGTCGCACAAACGTTCGTAATTGGTTCATTAAAAAACTTGCACGAATGGCACCAAAAAGCAAGATGATCAAACGAAATAAAATGTACACAATTGAAGATTTTCGATCTGCAGTTAACAATTACTATCAAAAACAATAGAATTAGGTATAAAAAACAAAATGCATACTTAAAAAAATAATTTCAGTGTTCTCCCCAAAAATTTTCCATAGTCGCGGCTAATTTGCATAATAATTAGCATATAATTAACATATTGCTTGTCATATGGGGGAAATATTTATTTTATGTACAATCTGTATACAATAAAAGTGCATTGCATGTTTAGTATTGCAAATGTCCCGCAGAAATACTGAGTTTTCTGGGGTTTTTTGCTTGGCCCAGCAATCAGCAACTTTACAAAACCCTGTTCGGTCCCGGTAAATTAAACATTGGGTTGATGATTCTCAGTGCTTATCTTCCGTTTTCCGGTTAAGTACAACAACTGTTACGAGTCAGATACTTACGCTACTATGTTCGAGCAATAATAGTTTTTCTGGCTAAAATTATCCATCTTTATGTATTTTTTTTAATTGTCGATGTTGTCTGTTCAATACAATTGTGAACAAGTCGAGACAACAGAGTTCTGAATTACGAATTGTCGCCATTGTTATACCACGTAAAATTGAGGCCTTTCCTCCAAGAAATAACACAAGTGTCACTCCAATTTCCACACTTTTCTTGATTAGAATTCCTGATTTCTTGATAAATACCGTAAAATCTGTATTAGAAGCCGCATCCCTAATAGAAGTCGCACCCATTCTTTTTGAATAATTGAGAACCAAAAATTCGTCATTTCTCATATGTGTAGATGCTCTAATAGAAGCCTCATCCCCTCTATTGCATTGTACCATTTTAATAGAAGCCGCGGTTTCTAATACAGATTTTACAGTATATTATTTTCCATTATGCTTCACTTAATTCATCCGGATCTGAGCACGATATGCGATCCGAGTGGGGAGTTCACGCTCTCTGGATCTTACGTGGATGACGCCATCTTGGATTCACGATTACGAGGTCAAAATTGTTTACATCATAAATATATATTTTTTCACATTTTGATCTCAAAAAAACAAATACAGTATCAAAAATACTGATAAAAATCAAAAAGTAGAATAATAGTACGACTACATTTCTAAAAATAATAATGAAAATACAATTCGTACACACCGGAAACATGTGGTTTTTGACCCCAAGTGTGACTATATCATTTGCATATGAATATACGTTTGGCAAAAAGCATTTGACACCAGGGCTTACGGCTTTGTCTTTATAGAACTGCTTTGTTTTTTTAAACGATATCCAACCAATGAGTAACAGGCGATTATCCTGGGAAATTGGCGTTAATACAATGCATTTGTAGATTTAACTAGTTAGCCAGGAAACTTTACAGTCTGAGAGACTAAAGAAATCAGATCATGGGATAAATAATAGCATCGCGGAGGAAACACATAGCATAGCGCCCCGCGACGCTGTTTTGGCCTGGTGAGAACACTGAATTTTCATTCGAATCGAAAGTTTGTTGATGTCTGCTTCGTTGAAAACAGCTTTGACCCGGAAACAGTTCATTTTACTGTGTGCACCCTGATACTATGTAACGATGCTTTTAATTGGCCAAAGCCATGCATTGACGCGAAAAACAACCAATCAGAATATTTGTTCCAAGATGAACACAAGTATATTTATTTCCTCCACTTATGATGCGAGTTGAAAGCATGGCCATTTTACCAGGGTTTTTAAATCGCGATTTAAAGAAAATTCAACTTTAAATAGTGACATTTTAAATATAAACATTTACAAGTTTAAGCAAGCATTCGTGTGGACTTCTTGGTGACCCGCAATGTCTGTGATGGTACGTCGGCTGTGCTGGACGTTTACCGATCATGCAACTTGCAAGTGCATGGCTGCCTTTGTTCCACTCGGTGGTTACGATGTTGCCGCTACAAGTCACGACGTGAACTTGGTTTTAAACCATAAATCTTGTGTTTTAACGAACGGTTTTACCGATAACGATTTTATATATTTGACTTCACCCTGGCAGTAAAAATATGGGTACGATGATACACTTTTCTCGGTCACATGTTCATTTTTAATCGTGTTGAAAAAACTTGCAACTTTATGTTCGGTGGTGTTATCACCTCACGGTGACCGGGTATGATAACAAGCCGGAATTTTCACACCTTAAAACAATGAACCAGTTACCCTGAGCATGATGAATCATCTTCGAGTGACAATGAGTGATGGCCTGTTTTGTAAACAATTCTTTGTCTGGGACCAGGGCGCACAGGAAATATAACAGGGCGCTGACAATTTAAACAGGGCGCCAATTTCAGATAACAGGGCTCGGTGCTTTCAAAGCGACAGCAACAGATATATCCATGATAAAACGTTAGGGCAAAAAAGAAAAATCTAAGACATGAAATTCCGGGGACCCAAAAAGCACAATTCTGTGATCAGCTGAAATTTGGAAGCCACTAAATTTCAAAAATCAAATTTCAAAAGTAATTTTGTAATTTTTAGAGTAATCAATATATATATATATATGAAAAAAATCAGTTCACAAGTAATATTCATCTTTTTGTTTTGTTTTCAACAATTGTTTTTCAAATTTAAAAACAACCTCCTGAGCATCAAAATACAAACATCTGATGAACAAGTTGTATTGATGTTATTAAAATATTTTCAAATACAATTCAATGTTACTCTTAAATATTTGGTTTGATATGGTATTTCGATTGTCTTTGTGTTAGTGAGGCAATAGTTTATACGTTGAGGTTATTAAACGACAATCCTTTTGATTTACAAATTTACAAGTGGTCTTTGTATTGGACAAAATATCAAAATTATGAGTAAACAATCATTGCGTATGACATCCATTTATTTTAGAAAGTGTTAAATTAGTCTCAAACAAAATGAGTCACTGAGTTAATTGCATTTTTTGGATACACCTGTGCAGTTAATGATGCCTGGGTGAAAGGGGATGCAAAGGTATACCGACATTCCAAATGTGATGCAGTAGTTCGTATTTTTCAATTTTCATCTTTAGCAAACTGCAGTTGTTTCAGTTTGATTACTTGTTCTCAGTCGTTGTAAACAGTTTTGAGAAAACATTGAAACACAGTGGTCAAGTTTGTAACATGCAGTGATTACCAATAAATATTGTCCGTATTTGACGAGTCATGTTTTACCGCAAGATCAAATGACAATGTGTTTCATGTATGATAATTATTAATATAAATATATTTTGTTTATAGGATGTCAAACCTGAAGGTGACCACATTACGTTAAAAGTATCAGGACAGGTAAGGTGGAAAAATCACATTAGTTATAGTTAATACGAGCCACATCCCCTCTGTTGCATCATTCCAATAGAAGCCACAACTTCAGATTTAAAGTTTACAGTACTAGTACTTGGATTGACTGCAAAAGAGCCACTGCATGGCAGGTTGGGGACATTTTTTACTATGCATAATACCATAATTTCCAATCATAAGTTCAGAAAAGATGATTTTTTTTGGTTTAACATTGTAACCATCTTACACCCACGAAAAATTATTCAAATTTACATCTTTCATTCACCATGGGAATATTATGTCTCTTTGAAGAGAAAAAAAGCAAACTAGTCATCATTGATTTCCACAACATTTTTACAATGAAGAAACAAACATGTTCAAAAAAAATACATATACCGTATTACCCCGGGCACGCGCCCAGGGGCCTGAACATACAAAATCGGGAAAAATTGGGGGTGGGCGCTTACCCGAGGATAAGGTCAAATAAAGGAATGCTTTCGTACACTTTGTACACGTACTTATTTCTTGATTTATGCGAGGTTTCAATAAACGTGAGCACTCGGTCAAGATCTGTGGGAACACTAAGACACAGGGTCGAATTTCAAGAATAAAACTTGTTTTATGTCAGCGAATGAAGTTGTATTACTTACTGAAATTGACTACAAACTATGGTAAATATTGTAATCAAT